CCTTTTAGTTTGGAAGCAGTGATCCGGCGCCTCAAGAAATGAGCCCAGTCATGACCAACAATGAAGCAGGGAAGTATGTAAGGTATTAGAAAATAAAAAAACATAATAATGAATACAATCGCTTGCCGATAGGCCAATTAAACGTTGATAAAAAATCTTGGTGAGTGACGACGCTGATATAGAGGTTTTAGATTGAAAGGTGTAGTGAATCTTCGAACCAATGCATCAAAGGAGAAGACAGTATCGGTTAGACGGATTGATAGGAGTAAGATCGTTTATAGATAAGTACTAAAGAATTCAACTATATGTAAGTAAAATTATAATATTGAGTCGATTAAAGGATATGGCGAGTTTCAAGTGTATCCAAGACCTTTCTCATACAAATCATCTAGAGACATCTTTGGGCCAAGTGTTGACTAGATATTTGAAACAGTCAGGTGAATATTAATCATGCGTTTGAATTGCGGATAGGCAGTGCAGTTTCTAATACTCGATGGAAGTTTGTTCCCTATTAACGCATATTCTACGGAGAAAAAATTTGAGCGGAGCTTGTTGCGAGAGTTTCGTATGTGCAGTGTTCGGTCTCTGTTTCTTAGTTCATAGTACATATAAGTCTGAAACTCGAGTTGTGGCTGAGCAGTGAAGCTTACTCCGAATAGTAAACGGTATGGAACGCACAGGTTAATTTTGTGCCCACGCAGCCATAGCGACTGCTGTTTCAGGGTCTCGCAACACTCACGGTATGTCATAGTGTTAGGCATGTTCAAAAAACTTTTTATGAATGATGGTTGAAGGTTTTCTAGTGTTCTGATGTGCACTTTTCTCTGCTTACCGTGCACAATTGTATAGTACTCAAGCTTCGATTTAACACATTTTAAAGGCTTGAAGCATGGAATCCCTCAGGATGAGTTGGACTTATGTAGACGATCATTTTTCTGGCAGAAGCCTGCAAGAGTATAAATTGCGCTACAAAATTAAATGACTCAGAATATCTCAAACCCAGGTCCCGGACTGCGCCACACACAGGAATAGGGGTGTCTTTTAAGGTTAGGAGGTTCGGAGAAGGACCATAGCCGTGGTACAATAGATTACACTTGTCAGTGGCAATGCGCAACTTCCAGGAGTTACTCCAGTGTTCCAATGCAGACAACTCAGATTGAATAGAAGCTAAATTAGAACAACTTTGTCCAGGGGGGGGGGGAACAATACACAATTTCAACAACATCAGAGAAGAGGAATGGCTTGCAGTACAATATTTCATCAAGGGGATCGTTGAAATGGATTAACACTAAAGCGAGCCTAGCATGCTACCTTGAATCACTCCACTAGTGATGGACGTGACTTCAGATGTATAGTTACCAATTTTGACTACTTGCTTTCTGCCCTCAAGGTAGGAAGATAACCACCCTAGAAGTGAATATGTGATACCACAGGACATAAGCTTCCACAACACTAAATTGTGTGGGACACGGTGGAAAGTCTTTTGAATATCAAGAAATACTACAACCATGGCACTTCGGGTGTCTCTTGCTCTAGTCAGGTAATCAAGATAATCTAACTGCTAGGTAATGCACGACCTATCTCACAAAAAACCGTGCTGATGTTTACTGATAAGGCTCAGAGAACTCAAATATTCTATTATGCGTTCTTCAAGTAAGCTCTCCTTGATTCTGGAGATAGTTGATGTACGACGGATTGGGCGGTACTTTTTACATTTGGCATATATTTACTTTTGTGTCGTGGTATGATGGTTGATTGTTTCCACTGCATACGATACTCCCCATTGAGCATGGAAAGTGTAAATACCTTAAGCAAAAACAGAGGACTTCTGGACCTTCGTGCTTGACTAAACTTGGCGAGATGTTGTCAGGGCCTGGTGAGCATGATGACCGAGCTAATCTGAGTTGGTGACATGTCACCATGTGTGAATTCAACTGTTTGTGTATCAGCTTGACTTGAGGATCCTCTCTCGCATTAGTGCTATAAGTAGACATGAAGTAGTCATTGTAGATCAAACATATGATTGCGCGATCGGTTATGGCAGTTCCATCAGAGTTGACAATCAAGTTTATACAACTGGATGTTCTATTTTACCTAGGATCCAAAAGTTTTGAGATTCAGCCCTTCAGTACCATTACTTCCTCGGTGCATGGCATTCTGTGGTGACATTGGTATGACGTTGCTAACATCCTGGTGTGGAGTATAAGCAAGGTAAAATCGTTTCTTTTTTATTAACTTTTGCCTTATGTTCAGTGGCTACCTATTTCGAGATACTTACAGATGCAGCAGTCTTTTTCGACTTCTTAGTACCTTCTGGAGCCACAACTTCAACACAGTGCTGAATACCGTGGTAGAACTCACCAAAAGCAATTTGTACATGCTATGCTAAGAAAAATGGATCCCAGTTTGAAGACTTTATATGATCCGAGAAAGCTGACCAATTCACAAAAAAGAATGGGCAGTAATTGATTATTGTTTCTATCGGTTCAGAAAGAATTTGGAAAGAACAACCAACTATGCTATGATCACCACCCGGCAATCTGTCACTGATGTATGTGAACATGTTTGAACATCCCGTAGTAAATATTAGATCAAGTATGTTACCAAATCGAGTAGGCTCTTTAACATGCTGTACCCATCCCAATCTACCAAGCATAGACATGAAGGTATTGACTTTTTGTGGTTCATTGTTAAGGGATTTCGGGCATTTGAAAATCCCCAGCGACTATTTTATTGGTGTATGAGAGGGCGGCAAGGAAAGAAAAGTGCTTATTAAGTCATCGGTTACGATGACTGCAGACGTTGGGGTCTGTAAATGCATCCTACTGAAAGATTTGTTGGATAGCTAGAAATGGTTATCCACACTGAATCAGCAAGTTTAATTAGGAGTGGCTCATCCAGAGGAAGAACCAAGTATATTTCTTTGAGGTAGACTATACAGCCACCACTTCTACCATAAAGGCGGTCATTACGAAAGACGTTATAACCCAGTATCCCGAATAATGTGTCTGATCTCTACCCTGAACGCAATATTTCTGTTATTAGTGTTATATCAGGAGAAGAAGGGTGAATAATATTACGCAGGAAGTGCATTTAATTTAATAATGAACGAGAATGAATTAACGGAAAGTGCAGTGTCTTGTTATCCGTTGAGTTGTCTACAGGAATCCAGGTACAGGACCCCAACGAGGTGGTATTTGAAGAGAGTGGAGTGGCGGTGGTGGATACGGAGGACATATAATTTGCAGAATTCGGCGACGGTCCGCTACACAGTAGCAGCAGGTTAGCTGTACATTCAGGGGCAACCACAACAGTACCGCAGATGGATTATGGTCGAATCATCAAAGTGGAAAATTTTACTGATGGAAAAACGAGGAGAGAGCAAGATTCACAGATGTTATCCTAGCAGACGGTCCAGCAGCCCTGAGCGACGACCTCCCATTACTGGAGAGAAGCATCTGAATTTTTATCCAGGTGATAGGGAACATTTTACTTAAACGTTTGTTGATACTTAGTCCTAGTTTGCCCAAATTTTATGGCCTGCGAATTGTGTGCAGTATCACGAATTTCTTTCCTCAAAATTCAGCGAAGTTGAAAATAGTTAAGCCAACGAATTTATAAAAAGTTTCCCGCCAAATTGATATATCTCCAGTAAATAGTGTAAAAACGATGCTTAAGAAAAGACGGCAAATGCCGGAGTAAAGACCCAGTCATTATCATTGTGGTTGAGTTTGTTCACCATAATCCCGTTATTTTCAGCCGGTTGCACCAACCTACCACAACCTATGTCAATAGCACAGCTGATTTCAATTCATCTGGTTGGACTCGCAGTCCAGTTTACAGTGGTTTGCTAGGTAGTACGCCGTCTGAATATTTGACTGCTTTGTCTAACAGCGAACACCTAGCTTCCTACATCACGCGTAATGCAGACGGCAGGCTGGTACTGGCATTCGGTTAATTTCTAAGCCACTGCAACATTACATTATCATTATGACATTCAAGACTACGACATCAAAAACAAACAGTTAACCAACGATCGCCCGAGACACTCGAATCCCACGTTCAATCTGACATGAGAGAAGTCCTAACCGGATCCGCTGAGAACGGAACCCTGATTCAATGGGCCAGGTACACAGTCCCATTTTGTCAAACTGCCGTCTGACAAACTCACCAGTTATTGAGTGCTAACTCTAATGCAGAGACAGACAGACACTAGCAAGCCGAAGGTAGAGCTCAACCGAACGTCACGCACAGTTCGTCCGCCGTCATGTTCCTTTGTACGCTCAGACGTTCCCAACAGTACAGTGAAATCGTAAACTAGTCACATCGGCATCCTGCACGTAAAAATCGGTTGACCTCTACGCTTGGACTTGTCACGGGCAGACCTGTTGAGCAGAACATTGATACTGAGCTATCCCCTAAGTGACCCAGCAACGTCGTTGAACAGTGTTTACGGGTCAGCATGTCAGCTACCTATAAACAATGACGCATAAACCTTCCTTTGCAAAATTCATGGGTGCGCATCACTCATGGTCAACACGATGATCTGTTGCCATGTTCAGCCTTGGCACAAACTTTGTTTTACTGCAAAATGTCAGCTGACTATCTTTTCCGGGACAGTTTTGTGATCTGGTTGACAACCCGCTTGGGAATGGCTTGCGCAAATAGGCACTGTACTGCTTGGAGGAGGGCTTCAAGAAAAGCCTGGTTGCTTCTCTATTCGAAGGCATTGATGAATCGCATGGACTGGCTAGACACTATGTGTTCTAGTGACTTTCAAGATGGGAGCTTCAACTATGTGCCCGCATGATGTGAATCACTCTAAAGGTATCACCACCTAGCTAGACGATGAACTACCAGAACGAATGTGAGTGAATTTCGACATGCCACATTCCCCAGATGTTATCAACTTGTTGTATGGAGCTGTTGACCCGTACCGTGCAGCTTACTAACTTTGTTCCAGGGTTGGTCAAGTTGACTATGAAGTAGCAGCAATATTAATGGATACCACCCATTTGAAACAAGCCACCCTGTCATTCCATGAGTTCGTGAGTGGATCTTTGCTAATTAACCGTTTCTTAGGTTTGATCGTCTCAACAGTGGAAAATCTCGGGTTGCGCAATGCGCTGGATGTTTCAACCCAACGTAGTTGGTGTCAAGTCATCTGTGCGCAACAGACAAAAGGTACGTTGGATGGAGTCCCGAGTGTCGCTGTCGACTCTTGCACTAGCAAACATATAATTAGGCATTTGCGGCAAACCGATCATCCTACCCCGTTCTCTGTGTGTGTTAATTTCATTCTCTTGAAATGGCGTGATAAACCACTCTGTTAACGCATGCGATTTGCGTGCTTGAATGTTGTGCAAGTGATAACGCTCATCTTGTGTAATTGCGGTCTGTAGCTGCCTCCACGAGTTTAGTCATTGTGTTAAAGATGATATGATCGCCAGAACTGTCAGTTTAAACAGAGTAAAGCTGTCAGCCTCGACGAGGTCACGTGTTACGATTATTCATAGGCACGATTTGGCGGGCTTATTTGAAACCTGTGCGATGAACAACAGTACCACAAATTGCAACGTGTTCCTACTAACGGGGTGGGGCAAGGGTGTAGGGAGGAGGCTTGCTGTGCGGCCTGAGGCCATCAAGTTACCATACAAAATCGGAGCGCAACACCACGCATTCAGTAACAGCTGGCCTGTTTGTACAAACGGGTTACCATTGTCGGACCAGCTTCTTTCCGACTTATTACACTGATCACACATCATACACACTTTAGACAGGTACTGCACTGATAGATGAGAATAGCTGTCCACTGGTGCCGGTTGCCACCCGGGTCTTGTAGGACCTTGTGCCAAACCTGGGGAAACGGGCGCGTACATCCCAGCGATGAATGTGAGATGGGTCAACATGACCCAGTTACTTATGGGCGCTTTCATTCCCATTGCCAGGGCAACGGTTAGCCTATCCGGAACACTCCGTGTCTGGTAAAAGAAATCTTTTCGCGATACTTGATGGGCAGGCATAAGCGTCACGTGTTTGATCCAATGCGACTGTACCGGCAATACTTGATGAGCTGACGAGCTAGTACAATAATTCACTATGATGCAGCGATATCAATCAGTGGATGGGTTAGTAACACAGCAATACATTAGGCGCGATTGCGTCCGGTGGAGATGGTGTACTGCACTACTGGCGCAATCCGCAGCATAGAACAAAGCTTAAGAAAGAAAACTCAAACTGTGCTGACAGGCTTTCGTGTCTCTTCTCCAAATGTATTACTGCAAGTCATTCTCACCCCCTTCCATCCAACAGTGGTCACCTGTAATGCCTTGCACGATAGCGCAGGTTTTGTAAATATTAAAACTCCCTCAATGGCAACAAGCAGCGCCGAAAGTTGAATTTGAGGCCACCCTTATGACAATAGACACAAGAACAACAGGTCATCGGTTTCCTTGAATAGCGATCGTTTTCGCAACCAGGAATCTAGTTTAGGAGATTACACCTCCCGCCGTGTTGGGGGGAGGGGGAGCACAACCAAATCCATTTTCTTCACCATGATGCTCCAAACTTAACGGGATCTGTTTGCTTATCATGACCGGTTGCGAAATGGAATGGCCATAAGTAAAGACCCCAGTTTTCCGCGGTGGTAAAATAATGTTTCTGCGACCAAAATTGAAAATTCCGCGAAATTTCTGTGGCGATAACCTAAAATTCCGTGAGTTCACCACCAGAACTAAAAGCAACAGAAATCAAGGCGTCCTCATCTACTAGACACATGTTAATGATGATTAAAAAAACAGAGAAATTAAAATAAATCCCAATATGGTGCTTCGCGCTACTGTCTGAAAAGTTGCCACACTTGTCAGACACAAGATTTTTGTAGGCACTAGAACTCCGCTCAGCCTCTACCGAATTCACAGGAATGCATAGATAACGGCCGGCGATGTCTGCCAGTGGTGGAGCTCTTTCATGCATTCAGCAAAAGAAGGTCAGCGGGTTTTCATATCTTTCTCAATGCAGTTCTTCCACCAGTTTTTCGATAGAATAGCCATTCGGCTGCCAGAGTTGGGAAGCCAACCAAGCTTTAAACGTCGTGATGGCTGCATGGATCACTGGACAAAGTGATGAGCTGGTTGGGGTGGTGCACACTAATGGCTTTCAAGACGGTCAGCTAGACTGTGCTGTCAGTAGCTCCTGGGCCTTTATGACAGCTCAGGAGAAGCAGAGTTTCATGTCTGTTCGGATGTTGCTAGACGCCCAAGTCGTTCCCTCTGGCTGTAAATACTGCGGCGAGTTTTCCTCAGCAGCAGTTTTCAGCTATATGGACAGAACGGAGAGGTTGTTGTACATGTTATAAGTTACCGGAGACTATGATTCGACAGTTTTAAAGTGACGTATGGTGTTCTTGCCATCAGTCGCAATGCAAAGGTTTCCGTGTTGTTTCGTTAGTTAGAATATTCATAAGTTCAAAAACCACCAGCTGAGTTTCCAAAATCATGTTATACAGCTCGCAGTATGGCTGGGTAATATTAGGAATGACCATGAGGTGTGACGGCTTCCAGTCAGGAAGTTAAACAGGTGGTAACAGGTTCAGACGGTCCGGTCGAGTTATGTACATCAACCTGAATTAGATACGCCATGTAGACACACCTGTTTCCTAGAAAAATGTTTTACATTTTTGAAACGAATTCGACAACTTCCTTTGAGAAGGGTCTCTCCAATCAAATTGATACCATGGGAAACACAGCTGATGTGAACTGAAACCTCAAAAACAGGCTTATGACGTTTCGGTAGCATGCTGTCATATATTTAACGCCATCGGCTCGAAGGCGTCACACTACTGAAGTCTGTACCAATCAATGTCAAGACGCGTAAAATGGCTCCTTCAACCGTGGTACAGCTGACTCTCTCCACGTTGAACTTTTCGAGGTGGTGTGCTCGCAGACTACCCTTGTTGGACTTCAATGGTGCGCATAATACGATGTGGAATTCTATTTTCCCGCCACCATCAGTTGTTTCGTCAGTTGTGACGCTAACAAAGACTTCACGGAACATCATGAAATGTCTTTTTGTGCATAGTCGGTGAATTTTCAGACGTAGCGCGTTAGATCCGGCAATGCTTGCACTATTTCGTACGGGTCTTTGAAGAAATTCCCTCAACGAGTTGTCGGCCTTCCCTTTAGGAATATTCTCAGTTACCATATCAAGTAAAAGTCAGATACCGCGAGGTGGGCGCTGTTCAACGCCGAAGAGGCGACGGTTCATCAAGTTGGCGGGTGACTGTAGTGCGGGGCCTTGTGTGCAGGGAGGGTGTGTACAAAGATGGGAATGAACGTTTAATGAACAATGGAACCAGTGTATACTGCGGATAAAAAGCCAAGGCTTGACAAGTCCCGTGACATGATTTGTGGGAATTACATAAGATCAAACAAAGAAGTTACACTAAAGTGGAAGGCGTATCTGTGGCCTCACCTTATCATCCAAGTTAACCCGATTTTGTGGGGGTTGGTGAGACCAATGTCCTTCTGCGTCTGGTCCTCAACCAATGAACAGGAATGGAACCAAGTAACACAGGTCGTCTTTTAATGTGTAGCGTGAGCGCCGAAACGACAAAATTAGAATGAGCGTTCCACGGTTGATAACTTCTAATGAAAGCATAATTCCGTTGGCCTTCCAATCGACTGCATAGGGTGGCTAGATTCAGCTGGTGACCCATCAGTTTTGCGTTGCGAAGAAGTTTCAGAAGGTAACGGCAAGCATGACCGGGGTTTCGATGATCTGGTACGTCAGGATGATGTCATCCCGTAGACGGGGATGTCTTTTGCTGGACACTCCCAGGGCTTTCAGTCGCACATGGCATGACAGGCGGAATAATTCCTTAACATTTTTCGTTGCCCTTCACTGTGGGGGTGTGAGAGGCGTGCAAATGATCATTCCGGTGCCATCGACGTTCCAGCTGTTGTGCTTGTTAATAGATACTCAGAATGATAGCGCGGCATTTGCTGCTACCTGGTCGAATTAGATGACCCACACGAACGCAAATCTGATTTAGCACCCCAGTCAATTTCTCGATACCGTATTGCTCTATGCCATCGATCGATCACCTCCGGATTTCGCTCAAATAGGTAGGGTGCACAAAAGCAACACTCGCACACATATGTATGAATGACTTAAATACTTCGATATAGACGGCTGAGCAAACGAGACTCTGTGGGACCTGGGGTTTGCTAGCGAACTTCGGCCGGTAGACGTCAGCGGTGCTCACTCGGTTGTTCCACCAGGTGCGAGCGATGCTGTGTAAGTGCAGGGGGTTAGTGTCATCAAGCAAACCATGCCTCCAACAGTGTTTGATCATATCTGCCATCCACAGCAAGTCTCTAAAAGCATCACGGCATCACAAGCTCTACCCTCCTAAGTAATAGTTGACACACAAGCTCGGTAAGTGAGTTCGCAACAGCACCTCGCACTCTGAAAGCATCATACACGAACAAAAGCGTGCCAGGCGCTGCGTCCGTTTCCTCTACAGCGAATGTTTAGGGACTGGATCTTAGGTTTATCCCCGGCTAGAGCGCTAGTTTGTGGAGCATCATAAATGACAACTTTGAACAGAAAGTTAGAAGGAAACGGATAATCATGGCGGTTGCGAGGTGACCCATCAGTCGTGGGGAGCAAAGGTGGGCGCCAAATGACTATATTTTGTCTCTGAAAAACCGGTTCATTGGGTAATATCCTGTTTTCCAACAAGCGGACTGATACCGAAACAACATGAGGGTAAGTAATCACCGAACTACAGACGTGTATGGGTGTGAAATGTAATGGAGTGGAAGGTGAAACGCGACATGAAGCCGTCTTATGACCATTCCCATCCTGTCAACTGGTAGTAGTAGCTCCTCTAGTAAAATCCACCTGTATGCATTGGATATTGGAGGTTTTACATTTTGAATGTCTTAACTTGCTAGGTTTCCAGATTCAGAGTTAGGCCTGCGAAAATATGATTTGAAGGTATACATGAAGCTTTGACTTGTAAAATAGGATGTCTTGATGCTAACCCGCGTCTAACTCATGGTATCTGTGAAGAACCAGTCCTTACGATGAATGAGGGCATTGACGGCGTAACAGGAATGACTAGCTAGACTTGTTTGACTATATGGTCATCTATAAAGCTGTGTATATGAGCCACATGTGTACTGATTCGAATCCATAAACTATGAGAGGCAACTCGACCCAAGAAGTGTTTGCGGAATGAGCGCTGGAGTATCAGCTGATAAATTTGGTTAACTCCTCTGAAGTTGCTGCCATATCGGGCGACCTACCTTGGACTCTCTAAGTTCTGAAATTCCGTGGTGCCCATCTGGTCACATTGTGAGTACCAACTGCTTAAGGCATGTTGTCTTGTGCGCTATGTTGTCAATCCACCCATAGCGTTGGTACGAATTGACAAACAGTTATATTCACTTTGCTACAGCTGCACATCGCTGAATCAGAAAGATCTGTCCTTTGGTCTGTAACTACTGCACTCGGCCGTCTCTGTTACCACGTGTACACTGTCTACCTTACGGTTCCATGTAATGATAGGGTTCAGCCGAATGTATGCGTCTGCCACTTGCCCGTGTTGCTAAGGTGCTTTGGCGCGGGGTGTGCATATAATGAACATCACTTGCGTATAAATTACAGGTTCCCACCAGGTGAACGTGAGCTGACCCCTAGCTTAGGTCTCCGTTATCTTAATCAGTAATCACACATCGGACGGATGAGATGAAACAGTTGCGTTGAATACAATTGCGCCAAACTGCAACCGTTCCTTCTCTCTTCTTGTCTAGTTTGATACTCGCTAGCCCCGTGTTGGTGAGTGGACTCAAGATGAGATTTGATCTTTAAGTGGCAGTGACTGGGTCACGCCGGATACAAAAATTTATCATGTTATGGTTTAGTGACTGATGCCAAAGGTGCAGGCAGGGTGAGGACCTTCCACCCTTCCTCCCATCTTGGTCCTGATAACTTGAATCCGGCTGGATTTAATTAGTGCGTTACCAGTGCCACAACATCTGCCTTTTCTGGTTTGCAAGTACCGTCCGATGCGACCTTCTGACAATTTCATTACAATGATTAATTTTCACACGGATTGAAATTTGAAGCTGACGCGCTACAAGGTAAGCACTGTCAAGTGGGCGCATGTTTTGCATTGCGTGGGTGTTTCAGTTATTGATATCCGATCATGTGTGTCACAAGACTGCTCATTGGAAGTCTGTCGATTGGTGGTCAACCACAGGGGGTAACCTGAGCGATCCTTAACACGACTGAAATCTTGTGCCTGTCGGACGCAAGTTGTGGCCATTTGGACACGCTGTTACAAACATGCGGTAAGCAAGTTAACAGGTTGCACTCTGGCTGTAGTTGAAGGTTCTGGCTGTTTTCCCGCTGCAGAACGCTCCTGCATGACAGTGCATGTCATGCCACCGGAGATGAACGGTGGGGAGCAACAAACCCGAGGTATTGTGTTCCCGTGGCACGCTTTGCCACTAGCCATTCACCATTGTTGCGGTGGCTAAGACCTTATGTTTTGGGCTTGAAGTATGTGGTGCACGGTGCAGCACTGAGAATCCAGGAACACTTAAAGTGACTACGCAGGATATGGTTCTGGTGCTCAGAATCTCATGCGTTTTGTCCCAAACAAAACGGTACTCAAATTGAACCAGTATATGTAAAATCCAGGCACGCTTTTGTATATACTACACGTCCGAAATGACTTAGGGACATATCTAAGTTGGGACATTAGCATGCAAACCCATAACTTAACATCTGAATTGTTAGCCATCCAAGATAAGGTCGCATATTTGACACGGATAATGGGGCCATATTCATGAAGGATGATATTTTCTCCTTCATTCTAATCAGCTTAGAAGACGAGTTGCACACAAAGGACTTCGTTAAGGCACTGAAAATGAGTGGGCAGGAAGAAGGAATCCTTATACCGGGCATCCATATTTTGACTTGGTTAGTAAAGGCGTGATATTAGGTTTGAGATACCTCTCTTCATGAGGCGCAGAGCTGAGGAGTTAACCAGTGGGATGTCTGTGGGATCCTGGTGGATGACCGGCTCAATAGCCGTTGGCTGAGGAGTAAGTTATCAGTGACTATGTGCAACCTATTCAGGTCAGCGTTGTCCCAATAACACCCCCATCACTTCCCCCTCTGAAAAGACAGAGACATTGCCGTTAGGGTAATTCTGTGAAAGATAGGCGATAGCACTGTGTCCACCCGCATCTTTTTAGCTTCCTTCCGTGGCGCATTTGATCGGATTAATGTATTTGACCAAAAGCTAGCGGTCAACAATATTCTCGTCCTTCTTCTTTCGCCTCACGGAGCCCGCAGCGTGGTTTCCACGCTACCGCTTAGCACAGTCACCTAAAACAACTGTTTTCGAACTTACAAGCACCCATCCCCAGTGCCTCTATGTGGATTGAATGAGACGCAAATCTTCATACACGCAGTTGCCAAGCCAGCCCTGGCCACGAGTACAGTAGCGCGATACACATGAACAGGTACCTGGTGTTTGGTCGATCGTAGGTTACTTATTGTACAGTTGACGATGTAAGTGTGAGGCGCCGTGAGAATAAATTCACGCGCAGAAGCATTGAGAGGAGTCATTCTTGAGTGAGCGGACTCAGTAAGAATAGACAGTGTGTGTCAAAAATTGAATAAACCTAAATCATATCATCACCTTGTCCTGTACTATAAGCACTAGTTGTATCAGTCCTGGGAAATATTTTCGAAGACAATGGGTAAAAGCTGATGTAGGAACGAAGAAGTGTTATTTCACTTGGATAAACGATAGTACGAAGACACTGCGATAACTGGAAAGAAAAACTCCACAAGCAGATGCGGGGAATTTGTTAGAATCAGACTGGCACCCGATGCTAACGTGCCATTAACCAGTGCATGAAACGCCTGAGGGAACCCAAGCGCTAGGACATCTGCAGTAGCCTAGCGGCCATCATGATCAATATGGTCAACAGGCTGCAAAAGTTGTTTAACGACTTATTCATGAGTGGAGCAAATGCACTGGCCTCAAAACAAGCGGTGCCACATTTGCTTATGGAACTGAATGCCTCTTTACGGCACGCGAATCATCAGCGATGTTCGTCCACGCTGCAAGAATGTTGGGGAGCATTGAGGCCTCTCCAGTGACCACAGGAGCTTCTTGGCCATTACTCGGTCAAGCAGCACACGTGCAATGAGATCGAGAAGCTAGCGCCTGCAATCCGATTAGCTTCGCTGATTTCACCACACATGTCAAATGCTGGCACCGGTCTACCAATCGGGTTGGCGCGATTTGACGACGGTGGCTCAGAATGATTGTGTCCACTTGACACCTGTGTGAGTGTGCACATGTATGAGGCCACGTGCTAGCTCCACAGCAGTGACGTTCTCTCATTGGCTGGCAAGGTGACTTCCACGGGTCCTCAGTGGACAGACAGCGATGTGCACGCGCGCCCACACTTAATCGTTTGTCGTTCTCCCTAGTCTTGGAGCTAATCAGCGCAACTCGATGCATATTTTCGGACTGGCTACGTGCCCGCACTTCATTGGCTCGCATCGACAGGTGTTTGCCCGACTCAGACAGTACCTATAAATTATGTGGTCAGTGGGCCCGATGCTTACTCGTCTACCCATGATGTCGCCATTGCCCCATCGCCCACCTAAACTCTGATCGTCTTATCGTACAGTGCCGGTGTGGACTAGACCTGAGTTGGTAAGTCACTACTCTTTTCCGCTTCGTCTGTGAGCTTATTCGCCGGTTCCTCGATGTTACGGTTATATCTTGTTTGCACCATCTTAATTTAGTTGGGTGATAATATTTAACATTGTACAGCGACACCACATGAACACCTTACTTCGTGCTCACTGCATGGAAGATGGGACCATCGTAAGTCGGCCTCGCACAATTGTTTCCTTTTCCACCTTGCTTGATTCCGTTCCTTAAGTTGAGGATAAATATCTGAGGAACCAGTTGGGCCCTGTGCGTTTAGTCTATGGTTGAGTGAATTTGGAAATGTGTCCCGGATTGATAATTCACTCGATTGGCTCCTCCTTCCAGGCAGGGAGATATAATTAACCGATGTCGCATGGTGGAAGCTTTTGTGTCCCGACACCGCAGTTGGGCCATACTTTAATTTCGGCTCATGTTGTCGTATTGTTGTTTTTGTTTCCGCTTCATGCCTCCATTTTGTGTCTAGTCGGGTTTAGTGTGACAGCGTCAACACCTCAATTACTGGGTCCAGGAACGGCTCACTTTACGTGGATGAGGTGCACAGTCATTGTTAGCCCGAAGGAGCCGCTTCATTAGGGAGCGACCCACTGATTTTCCTCACTACCCTCTATGCATGGCATGTTTACACGCCTTGAGCTTTCATCATTGACGCGCTTGTTAAAGGAGCATGGACTGATTCCTAATCAATTGTGATTCCCGCCACAAAGTGCCCCAGTCATGTTATTTCAGGCTTACACTGCGCATGAACTGCGTGTGTGGATGGAGCAGGTGGGGGCGCAATGGAAGTCACCTTATTACCTTTCACGGCCACCAGTGACCTGTGTCCATTCGTTGCCTCTCGCAATGCTAACTTGTTAATCCACAGATCATTGACGTTGAGTATACTGCAGATCTGAATGGGTACATCTAAGATGTAGTGTGATGTCATGCTTTTGGGAACAGTTCATCCTACAAGTTTCCTTACTGTTTTGCTGTAACGGAGTTATTTAAAAGAGATATTCATGTACATTCTAGACGGGGGTTTTGCACAGAGATGCTGTAAAAATTTGTTCCCTTTCATCCGTTTCGTCAAAGCAGAGAGAAGATATAGGTTGCGATATGTCAACATTTCGATTATTCTTACCAGTCGCAAACACAATACAAACACAAACACAGACACATTTATATACATGGGAAAATATTGGCACACTAATGAAACAGTCAAAATCGAGACCAAGGCAATCTGATTGATTGCCTCAAGAGTTTCTGTGCCCATAACACAGGTTGATAAGCGCTAATTAGCAACACCTCGCTGATTGCCAATCTTATCGGGTTCCTGTTACGTAATAACACCTTGAACGCATTATTGGGGTTCACATGGTGACCAGTTGTCAAGAGGTGTTTGGCGATAGATGATGACGGACTCCGATTCGTTCTGTGGGGACTTCCGTTCTGTTGCGCCATCGTTTGTTCAACCTACTTTGGCAAGTGCTCAGCCACCCTCTGAGCCAACCGACGGTTAGTCTTGCCTATGTAAACATCACCGCAACTGCAGGTGAATTGATAAACCACATGAGAGGCCGAACTAGCCGAAGGGTAGCTCTGACGGTCCTGAGGAACCAGTTTACGGGTAGCGTGCATGAGGCGCAACTGGGCATTCGTGTATGTGCGACTGATGGCGGACCTGAGCTTGTGTCCGATATCATTTGCCACATGATTGGCGGCATCCGGTTTCGGATTTGCCTGTCACTGTGGCAAACCACAGGACGCCTGCGCCTACAGAGGGACCATGAATGGCTTGCGCTGCACCACGCACAGCTCCAACCACACACCCTATATCCAGTGTAAACCCGAAGGAATAAGACCGGGAGGCATGCGGATGGGGACCCCGTTTCATCAACGGAGCCGACCCACACTCCTTCACAGACAAACACAAACAAGCTGTATTTGGGAATAGACCGCACACAAGGCGGTGGCTGGACCGTAGTCCGTTCCACACTGACTGCATGGAACCACTCTTTGATCCTAACACGGCCACAAGGACCGTGCACCCCGTACCCTCCAGCAACGACCAACTGTCTCCTGGAGCCAGTATGGACGAGGTAGTGGGTAATAGACATGTAGGCACCTTGTCAACATGCACATCAAGCGCATCCACACCAGGGATATCAAACAACAGCCAAAGACTTGAGAGAGAGAGAGAGAGAAAAAAGAAGAGAAAAACTCGATTAATGCATAAGGAAACGGTGATATAAACCTTAATTAAATAGCCTATGTAATAAGTTGTTTACAAACAAATCCTAGCAATGTGCACGAGGTCAGGAAATATAGTTCACGGAATGCCACGAACACAAATATGCTACGGAAATCGAATACAATTGGCTTAGGCGAGGTGTGCAAGTTAATGAAATAGAGTACTGGTAGACATTTATATGAGAAAGGAAAGCATTAAGGCACAAACTGTAAACCCACCACCTGAAATAAAGTGATTTAGCATGCAAGCACGCGGTTAGTAAATCGAATTCAGCGTGCCTACAAACGCTGCGCCGGCTCGCCGTAATTCTCTGCAGGACCCGTCGTCGCTTCTGTAGTGGCCCCAAATGGCACAGCTCATGGCCCACTAGACATTTATATGAGAAAGAAAGGCATTAGGAGAGAATCGCAAACCCACCACCTGAAATAAAGAGATTTAGCATGCAAGCACGCGGTTAGTAAATCGAATTCAGCGTGCCTACAAACGCTGCGCCAGTGCTGCCTAAGTTCACTGCTGGACCCGTCGTCGCTTCGGCAGTGGTCCCGAGTGACCTCTCTCATGGCTCACTAGGCCTGCCTGACTAAGGCACTCGCGACCGCATGTTATACAGCACGATGCGCTCGATGTCGATGGAGTACAATTCATTGGTGATTGCCGCTTCCGCAACTGCCGCTTCTTCTCTGCATGCATGAGGGCTTTCTCCCGCACTTCAGCAACTGCCTTCGTGATTGGATCGCGCCATGAAGCACAATCAACCGCCTTCGATTCCCATGATCTGCAATCAAGATTAGAACGTGTGAGGCTCAATTTAATCATGTCCTGGTAACGTAACTTTGGTTTCCCCACGTGCCACTTCCCTATACTCAGCTGACCGTATAAAAGTTGTTTCGGTATCCGCGTCGAATCCATACGGCTCACATGACCGAGCCATCTCAGGTGTCTCAGTAAAAGTATGCCGTCCACTGCATACATCCCACTTCGGCGCAAAACTTCCGTGTCTGCAACTCTGGCGCCCCAACCGATCTGCAAAATTCGTCGCAGACATTTGCCACATAGTCCCCTTTAAACGGCAAAACCAAATAAACAGCCTTTTTCTCTGCCGTTTGCACTGGCAGTTTCTTCTTTAACATATCGCAACCTATGTCTTCTTTCTGCTTTGATAAAACAGAGCTGCAGTGTCTAGTGCACGTCAGCTGATCGATGTACACAATTTCACAATCTGACACAAAAATTGGAGCATGAACTCGGCGCTTCGGCTTCGGGAAACCGTATTTAAATCTATAGGTAACTACATTAATCCCTAATTTTGAATTATTTTTATACTGAGCGCAGGTTGCTCTTATTGCAATGATTAGTTTCTCTTAAGCTTAGGTAATTAGTATGCTACGTTTGAGGTGCAACTCTCCGTTTCTGTATCACTGATTCCTTTTGCAGTTGAAATTTTTGTTTCGATGCGGTCGTTTTACTGTAAGTATAGACCGACTTGTGCCTAGATGCCTCCTGAAAATGGCCCTAAGGGAACATTTTTAATCATTCGGTGAAGTCTCTAGACAAAATGCGAAGTGTTCTTAACATATCCCAGTAACCAGCAAGTGTTGCGTGGGCAAAATACACCCAATGAAATGTGCCCAAAACGTAGTCCTCTGAATAACTGACACGAGTGTGTTGATTGGGTACTATTTGCAACTTACTGGGATATTTGAGTAAATGTATGATATCATAAGGGTTTGAAACACAGAATGTACGCTGGAAAGTGCCGCGAATTTTGTTCCGAATATATTATGAGTGCTCGAACAATGTATCATTGGAACTGGATTCGGATACCCACTGAACACAAATCCGGCAGTATTGATAGAAATGCAATACCAGCTGATCGTCCCTCAGTTCTTTCATCTTCCACCTCACCGTTGCGTGTCTTGATAGTGCCAGACTGAGAAGCGACTAATTCAGTCATTTCGTGTCATCTTATCGTGATTTACACTAAATGAACAGCCGCTTAGTCGTTTCACCATGGCACTGAGTAATCCAAGCCTCTGCCTTATCCTTCTCTTCAGAATTGCCTCAAGCGCATCGACGAAGTTCTCTCGGTTGATGTTTCCTCTGGTCACACTGTCTGGTAAACCTTTCGTCGCGTCCACAACTAACGACTCGGTAGCGGCGATGCTTGCAACTGCCATGTGCAACACATTTTCAACGTGCAATCGCAATGTGGCCGGGACCGATTTGAATCTGCTAGCCCTGATGCACACTCTGAAACCCGAGACGCAGCAACTGTGCTGTGCGTTGGCCGAACACATTGGTTCCGCGACAGCAGACAGCAATCCTAGTACTCCAGTCGGTCGACAGACGTCGCCAACATCACCATCTCAACTGGTCTCCCAAACAGTTGCAGTTTCAGCAGCTACAGCCACCACCGCTGTGTCCCAGTTCCCTTTCAATCCATCCGTCAACTCCATCATGAACCGCAGTCTCCCCACCACACTGCAGCTAGCGGAAACACGTCCCCCAATCGACCTATTTGTGCCCAGTCCTGTTCTTCCTTTCCATCCCACCAACTTCGCCATGACGGCAGCGATCATCAACGCACTGAGTGCGAATTCCACTGCCGTCGGGATGCACTTGTTACCCGCGTGCTCGCCACTTCTCCAGCTGGCCATCCGCCAGGCTTTAAGCGAGTGTCTCTCATCTCTGGGTCCGTTGACCATCCAAGGCGACTTGGAAATTTGTGTCGGATCGGGCCGCAATCCAACGCAGTCAACTCACAGCCTCACGGTACTTAGGTTTAACGACTATGTGCGCAATCGGAGGCCATCCCAATGTATTGATTCACATCTAAACGTTACAGCCAATTCAGTCGGTTCGACAGACACACATCCTGCTGTCCAAGGAGGTGGCGAATCGTGGGATGCGGCGTATACAGATACCGCGAGCCAAGTGAACTCCGGCTCTTCCAGGCGCAAATCCCTGAATCCCAGTAAGTGTAGTCTGGGGGAAGATTCCAGATGCTCGGCTTCCAACCACCTCAATCCGACTCCGTCTCCGACCGTGTTGGTGGACCCAACCATCAGACCACATTCTGGACCAACCAGTCCCTCCACCGACTCCGGGGTTTTGGACCTGTCCCATAACGGATCGTTAGCAGGGTCAGCTCCAATCACTCCACTGAAGGGATTGGGTGTACACAGTGAACCTGATCAGCGAATACTCGAAGCCTATCAGAAACAGTTGAGCGCATTTGGCCGATTACAAGCGGTTTGGAGCAAAGCGTCTATCGCTTACGGCAGCTGTCGAGATATGGAATTTACTCCTTTGAATGCGATATCGACAACCTCAATCCCATCCAGCTATCCGGTGTCCATTTGTGGTCCCTTGTCTGCACCCAGTAGTCCGGCCAAGGTGCAGTGTCGAGATCGGGGTCCAGGCCGACCCGAGCACTGTGGGCGTGCATGCACTCTCCGGCGTCCCAACTCAAATCGACGGTTTCCTTGCAATCAATGTCGCGAGGAGTTCCCCTCTTTGCACACTCTAGAAGAACATACGATGTTTCGACACGGGGCTTATCGGTGTCACATTTGCAGAGCCAAATTCACGCAACGCTCAAATCTGCAACGCCACGCTCTCAAACACGTGGGTTTCAAGCCGTTCGAGTGCCGAGTGTGCTGCAAGGCGTACTATCGTAAAGACCATCTGATGCGTCACATGGAGATGAGCCATCCTGGACACGCGCCTCGGGAGAACATTACGGTGCATTTGACATCCTCGGAAAGTTTAGAGTTCCTCAACCGTTCATTCCCTGCACGAACCGTCGCGGATTCCGCTTCGAACGGTTCAGTTTACGAGTCGGGTGAGGACACACGAATGGATCTTGGCAATCTTCGGCATCCGGATGACGAGGATATTATCCACCGGGCCAATTCAGCGCCCAGTACGAGTGGAAGTTCGCCGTATCGTGAAGAACTGTTCCCAGACAACTCTCATTCCCACCTAAAAGAGAGTGAATTTAACCTGAGAGTAGTCCCCGATGCAGCTACATCTCCGCGTCAGGCGACCACACCTGTCCAACCCATGGAAAACCGTCACATAAGCACAACTACCGATGAGACACAGAAAATGGAGGTGGATGCGAATGAGAGTACTGAATTTTACGGAACCATATGACGTTGCGTGACGTGATATCTTTTTCTCCTATTGCTCTTCCCCTCTCCTCATTTATTTCTAACCCCGGTCCGATCTGTTACTATACTTTTCAAGGTATTTGACTTCATACAAATATTTGTATTCACTTTGTTTTGGTAATGTTCGTAATGGACTGTGCTTTCGACCGATTGCGTATCCGTCACTACGGCGTCGTTTGGCATCACATTATCTTGTGCGCACTGCAGTGGGTTGGCTGTCCCTCGCCAGACGGTGACCGGTACAGTGCGTTGCGGTAGTGAACTGTGGATTATTTTGGGCAGGAACTCCTGTAGTTTTATGACAGCCGGTTTGACGGACGGAAGTTGAGTAGTATGTATGGGCGTAAAGAATATTCCAAGGACAGCGCCATTTGTGCGATCGTGCGAAATGGAGCCGCCAGTGTAGGCGCGCGTCTTATCAACACTAGAAACCACACCGCTGTGGCTGGTGCTGGTGCCCGCTGTGATTTATGGACAAACCGACCAAGTCGTACAACCATGAGACAGTATTGTCGTTTACAAGATTCCGTGACTTTGATGCGTAGATTACTAAGCTGCAAACTAAGAGGCTATATGGAACTCTTTCACCACGTCACTCCGTGCGTACAACTGTACATGTCACTTGCACATTCGATTTGTGCGTCGCGAAATCGGGGAACTGTCGTCTGTAGTGCCTGCGTTAGGTGAGTGTTAGTCCACAATCAACTATGACAAAGGGGCAGTGTGACATGCATGGTGAAGTTCTTCTCCAACCCCTCAATTGGTCTAATTTCGTCACCACGAGTAATCTAATAGGTTGTCCAGTGTGCCATTCTCTACCGTTAGTCAATGGCGGAAATCGGTTGAACTGGGCCTCAGGATGTAAGCAATATTCAGGTGCTCTCTCGGAAAAGTTATCTGGTGGAGACTGAACCGATCAATAGTATTGTGGAATGCTGCTCCATACGATCAAATACCTCACGCATCTCACTACACACCGTACTTCTAGTAGACCAGAGAGGACACAGCAATGTGAAGGGCAATGGACAGATTCAGTCCACAAACTCCGGCGCAGTCATTGGTGTATACGTAGTGGGACAGAGCAGTGACCAATCGCGGCAAGTTGTCTAGAGCGAAACGACACCGGAGGTAGAAAAATGCGCTGCCGGGTTTAGGAGCAATGACATACCAACAGAAGTGGGGGAACAATGTGGATTGACTAACCAGTCAACGTGACGCATTCACATTGTCTGAATGGATTGTGACACACCATCTAAATGCGAACCACACGAGTAAGGTGGAAGTGAATCCTGACCGAATCGGTCACTGGGACCATAAGTGAAGCAGATGAAGATTTTCAACTCGCAGCGCTACGTATCCCAATCGGTTTCGTGTTTGTGAGCACTCTTCACTTGGAGACAACCGAACTGCGACTCCAGTCCTAGTTGCCATCTGAAGTCGTTGTCATGACACCCATGAAATCGGTTGTGGAGAGTGCATTGTTGCGACCAGGCGGCGCCTAGCCAGTCAGTTGGTTCCCCTAATAGCAATTGATGATGTAATCTCTGGAGGGTTTTGCTGAAGGAGCGATCGTCAGTCGCCTGTAAGATTGACACACTGCGCTGAGGCCAACTAATAGACTACAAAGTGGAAGCTGACGGAATGCCTACTGCACACTTCGCTATTTACGATGGTAGATTTTCAGTTGCCTGATCACCAATCGGTTTCCATCTTGTTCGAACCTGCTCGATTTCGCCAACTTCAGGGAAATGCCTGAAAACAAATCTCACAGGGATCCTTCTCTCTATCCGCCTCCTACCTACAGTGAGCCAACGACAGGAGGAATACAGAACCCTTGAAGTTGTTTTCATCCTCATTTCAAGTTCAGGCTCAGTTATTCTCAGCAATGTAATGGTCATAGCCCCGAGGATTGCAACTCCACAATTAGGATTAAAAAATACTATCAAATGTTTTCTGGGCGAAATATCTCATGTCCACACTTTTTAAACTCCAGGAATATCCCATAGGTTTGTGACAGTTCCCTAGGTCTGAATCCCTCACAGCTGTGCTTAGACACTTGCAAGACACGTTGGTGCCCCTTTTACGCATTCGCAGTGCAAGCTTCAGCAATTTCCAAAAATTTGACAAACGTACTTCTCTTGACTGTCATTCCGGATTTGGCACGCAAATACACAGGTACCAGAACCGTTGTGCATAATGTCACATCTTCCGTTATGCAAAGTCCGGCCCCAGGAGTTTTCCATTGGATAGCTCGCTAAATCTGCTTTCTCTGCAATTGCATCTGTAGGCTTATAAAGCACATTGTGACATCTTTATACTATCGTCATGCAACGATTTTATCGATCACCAAATGGTTGGCGTGTACCTAATAGAGCTTGTTGACCCAATACCATACGTAGACTGCATCAAGTGTACACGGATTGGGCTCCAGTGTCACTCCGAAGTGGAAAAACGTTTTAAACTTGTTCGCTTCCATAACTGCGTCCTACGGACGGTTTCTTGCTTGGCTGAGCTTATCAGAAAAGGACAATTGACGATAAGACTTTAAATTTGTGTTCATTGTTTTCCTGAGAAGCCATTGCTATTACCTAACCGAAGGTGGCTGGCAATCTTCGTCATCATGCGCTGTCTCAAATCTAGTTTGTATTCACACAACAGGTCCCACCAAATCTAGCAAATCAGATGACATCAAGGTATTTCCACCTCAATCCCAATGTGTCCATTGAGTCGGATCAAGGGATTTGTCATTTAGTCTAGCCGATTCGGAAACTTCTGTGGGCGCTGACAGCTTTGTCAGCTTCTGCTAGCTCGCAGAATAATCATGTGAATTCAATCTGACCTTGCCGAATAAAGCCCATTTCGTGTCACGAAGTAGACCCACAATATCGCACTGGGTGGCGCCATCATAGAATCATCGCATACAAATGATGACGGATGCTGCTTGACAATTCCACCTGAAGTTTGACGAATGGCAAGATTAGCATACACTGGGACGAACTCTACTAACCAAAACGCGCTGTTTGATGACTCGAGAGTGGTATCGTTATCCATTCACAGTCACCCATCTAAAGGATTCACAAATCGCTCTTTGTCATTGGACCCGCTTCTTGAGCTATTATATTTCTTTTTCTGAAACCCTTCAGTGAGTTCACCAGATCGAGAGAAAGGCTTAAGTCTAACTTCTGAGGACACTTTTGGGTGAACGAGGGCGCAATGCGTTATACTTGATTCTATAATAATAATAACTCTGGCCTCCAAGCAATCGAATTTCCTCTGCACCTTGTTTTGTGTCATAGTTGGCAAAAAACATCAGGTTATACGTACGCGCAGCTGTGATGTCAGTAGTATTAGACCGCCAACTCATCCACTGGGGAGGTATTCCTCCCCTGTTTGCTTGAAGAAATCTCGTTGCTGTTGCAGCATTTTTGATTCAGTGACATTGGAATTCAGCTCGCGTTTTAAACCGAAATCTGTCATGTTACATGATTGGAGGGTCATTTTGAAGTACTCGTTATGTGGTAGGATGGTACACGCCATCTCAATGTGGGCTGTGAATCGCATTGTAGCGAGCATTGGGCAATTCGATGATTAGGACGGTCCTAGTAGGACGGCAGCTGGAGCAGATATGAAGCTGGTGTTGCCCGCTCGAAAACACAGCACTCCATGATGCTTTCTGACTTCAGTTGGTATCAGGCTGCAGAGCCATACCAGGGAGTCGTTCGGCGATCCATGCGGAGGACTCAGCCCATCCGACGTTTACGGTGTGAAGACATGGATTGCGATATGTCGACATTTCGATTGTTCTCATCATTCTAAATGTCAACCTATAGTAATCTATGTCTTCTTCCTTCGTGGATGAAGTGGCTCAAGGTGACTCAATGTTCCACGTTCACAGTGAACCCAGGACTTCATTCTTACGAGGCATGAGAACAGCGTGTTTTCGAAAAGGGAGATAATTGGTTCGGCGATCCGGTGCCTAGACGTACGTCATGGGGCGGCTCTACTCCTGAACTTCACTCTCACCCACTGCCTCATTGTGACTTACTTGTGTGTGGTCGTCGTGCGCTGTCTTGCTCGTGTCACGTGACCTTAAGTTTGACCAATACACCGTCCGGTGCGGTGAAATCTCTTCTGACGGCTGTGCGTACCATCCATTGCGATCCTAACACGTATCAGGGAAAACAGGCGAGCTGGGTATGCTTTCCCAATACATGCTCCCAATACATAGTATACACGACACAGCCTTGACTGAAAGTGTCCATTCCGTAATCTAACTCATCTGACCCACATAAAGCGTGGGCACTTGGGAATGTGTCGTAGAAACTGCTCGCTGCACGTAGACCGGCATTTTGATGGTTGCTTGCATCAATGATGCTCTATTAATCCTTCGGCCCAGCGTGCAACAAGATAACTTGGGCTGGAACGGGTGGTCACACCAGATAAAGACTCCACTCCCCTCTTAAGAAGTCGGCTGTCACCCAACAACACTGTACATCCGTAGTTTCATGTAATCGCCAGTAACTCGGATACCGCATGGGATTACATTGTATCTAAGCTGTATTGACGACAACGAATCTATCGCTGTTTCAGTTGGTAGTGACTGTAAAGTCCATTTTGTCAACAGCCATCACCCTTCGCCTGGACCCACATTATTGCCCTAATTCCCCTTGAATTCACTCTGTTTGAACGTTCCACGTATACCGCCCTGCATGACCCTTAGTCGTTTGTTTTCCATGCCCACCTTACATTGCTGACACCACCTGTCTCGCTACTTTCTTTGATGCATGCTCCACTTTATCGCTCACTGCTTCGCACTTGTTCCATTTGCGTGTTACTATTGAGGTCAGGGTAGACCGGAGATTTTGTGGGGTGGACACACCACCCATCCGGCTGACATGTGCCCCTAACCTCAGGTTTTCATAATGTGTCCCCCATTGAACCTGCTTGATGTGATTGGACTAGTGGCTGTTGGTTTCTTGATTG